CAACAACGAGCGGAGCGCAGTGCGGCGAAAACATAGAAAGTTCGCACAATAGGTGGTGCATCGGCCAGTCATGTCAGACAGCCAACCCATGGCGCCTGCTGGGTCTATCCCGTGACCTCCTGCCAGTGGACGTTCGACCCTACACGTGGCCTTAAAGTGCACAGTCTGTCACAAGCGCCGTGGTGAAGTCACCGCCACTTAGTGGCGAATGGCGGGTATTGCTGTAAGTCTGTGTTGAGTCTGTGTTTGTGAGTCTCTGTGTGTGTAACATCACTTGCCCCTACACTCTATTACAGGCTACACGGGGGAAGATTTTACTTCATCTCTGAACCGACTGGGCTCGAATCACCCCAACACGATGGAGCAACGCGACGCAGGTGCAGAGACAGCAGCAGGGAGCGAGGTTAAAAATTCACTAACAGATGTTATCTCTCTCCCCTGGTGTGCAGGAGGATGTGGGTTCGAGCCTTACTATGTGAGAGTATATGAGCAGTGTGGCGAGGAGATGTTATCTCTCTCCCCTGATGTACAGGAGGATGTGGGTTCGATCCTTACTATGTGCGAGTATATGAGCAGTGTGGCGAGGAGATGTTATCTCCCTCGCCTGGTGTGCAGGATGTCATGGGTTCAATCCCCACCCTGACGATGCCTGCTGCTGCTCTTTTCTATGTGCGAGTCTGCGTCTCTCCCCATGGCAGTCGCATGGATTTGTTCGGTTTCTCCCTCCACGTTCAGAATCAACATCACGCGTTAGGAGAAGTATGCGTCTCGACAAGTATCTGGGTCTCTGTGGACGACAAGTATCTGGGTCTCTATGGACGTCAATGTATCTCTATGGGTCTGTCTCTATGGGTATCTTTGTCTCTGTGTCTGTGTCTCTATGAATATGGGTCTCTGTGGGTCCAAGGGGGTGACATGGGTAACCAATTCTGGCGTCACAATATAGTTAAGTCCACTAGATTTCACGAAATATTTCACGCTCTGCTCTCCTCCTTGTAACCCCTTCCCTCTCTCTCTACCCCCTCTCTCTACCCACCCCCCCTCCTCTCTCTACCTCCTCTCTCCCCACTCGATGTCTACGTTCCCCCTGTTTTCTACGTATTTTTTTTTACTACAAGTGCTGCACTCTCACACCGCTGCGCTCACCACCCCGGGGCCACACCGTGCGCCAATGTGCAAACTCACGACCTACACAGAGACCGGTGACACCACGTCATATACCGTCTTGCTAATGCCTTTATTTTCGGAGCGAAGAAACCCTTGAAAGTAAGCCATCTAGTCGCTACGACCCAAGTGTGTATTGCAGGAAAAGCCTCGTCTACCGCTGCCTACCCGCACAGTCCACCAAGCGTCCTCCCTCGTAGCTGCAGTCACTGGCGTCGCACGGACGCTGTGAGCGCCGAAGAGCGGAGGGGCTGACTGAGATGGCCCCCTCGTTCCCAGGTCCTTTCTTTTATTCCCAACTCCAAAGGACCTGGATCACGCGACCAATCGTGCGCCTACCTGTGCCCACATCCGCGGCCTTTCCTCTCACGTGGACTGCGGTTGTCTTTGATCTCCCCCGACTCATTTTCTGCTTTTCCCGAACTTTTCACTCCGGCCCGCCCTGACGCTATTCTCAGGATTGTATAACTCACCGCAGCCGACCCGGTAATATTTTTTGCGCCCATACACTATGAAGCCAATTCAGGGGCGTTGCGATGTAGACTGCCCTGTGGGGTTGAGCCAAATTCTGGCGTCAGGAAACCATTGGACATTCCTCGGAGGAATCTGCGGAGTAACACCAGACTATTAGACCGGTCGATCCCAATCAAAACACTTGGTGTGTGTGAGTTTATTCACTCGTCGGGGCAATGGGGGCTGGGGTGGGGGGTGTGGGGGCCAGGGTGCGATTGTTGGGAGGGACACTGCGATGTTGTGGCATCATATATAGTGTGGTGTAGTTTATAGTGTAGATAGCATCTGAAAGCGCACGATACAGTGACCATCTTTGTTCTACAGCCAGCCATCAGCCCCTGCCACTGCTGCTGCGAGGATGTTGATCGCAGGCTAAGTGCATTTGTAACCCAGAGCGCGAGAGTCAAGGCAAGATCAGCCGCAGTGCGATCGCATGTCACCTAACCCACAAGCACGCTCTCGTTCTAGGGGCACTCACTCGAGACGACTCAGCCACGGATGGCGATGAGGATCCGGTCGGAAACCCACAACTTCCACGGTTTAGCAGGTACTCTTCCTATTGTGGGAGATATTCATTTTGGCACTATTCCTATTGGGACTATTCCTGTTTGTACTCATCTGATGGTGTTATCCCTATTGACAGTATTCCTATTGGCACTATTCCTACTGGGCCTATTCCTGTTGGTACTCTTCCTGTTGGCACTATTCCCGTTAGTACTCTTCCTATCGGTACTATTCCTATTGGGACTTTCCCTATTGGTACCACCCCTATTGGTCCTATCACTCTAGGTACTACATACCCCTTGCCCAGGAAATATGATCTCCCTGGCCTGGTGTGTAGGAGGTAGTGGGTTTGATCCCCACCCTGACGATGTCTGCTGCCGTTGTTGTTGTCTTTTTGGATTCTGCGTCTCTGTCTCCCCGTGGTGGTCGCGTGAATTTGTCTCCGGGTCGTCTGGTTTTTCGTGCCACGTTTAGAACGGACGTCACCACGCGTTCAGGAGAATTTGGCCGCTGTCCATTTCCACGCAATAAGCGCACTCCGTTGAGCCACCATTTGTGATGACCAGGTCACTTCTGAAAATGAATGAGGTCACAAACAAGTATTTTCAACGCACACACTTTTATTTTCACTCAATTTTAAAATATATTCTTTTGACCCCAGAATTAATCAGATTTCGTGTGCTGAATAAAAGTGGATGGCTTGCATAAATTTAAACATATCGACAGGAAGCCACCCACTTTATTTAGCACGTGAAATTGTATTAATTCTGGGCTAAAATGATTACATTTCTAATTTTGAGTGCAAATAAAAGGGTGTGCTTTGAAAACGAGTTACTTTACCTATTTCTTTACCTTTAAACATAGTTTAACTTTTCAACTGCTATGCTATATTACCAGGTAAGGCCCGCTAGAGCTCTATAGATGTTTTTTCAGACGCAACCTGGCCACAAATGAATGATAGCTCAACGAAGTGGCTTATCATCATGTGGCTAAATTTCGATTTAAAGCTTTCGTGACTGCAATGATTCATCTTCTTTGGTTCTTTCGGTAAAGTCACGTAGAATGAGAATAAAATAATAAATTGATCAAATAAAATAACAATAATATTCTCACGACGTTTCAGCCACAACACAAGCGGCCTTCACCTGATGAAGGCCGTCTCATCCCTTCACCTGATGAAGGCCGCTTGTGTTGTGGCCGAAACGTCGTGAGAATATTATTGTTATTTTATTTTATCAATTTATTATTTTATTCTCATTCTACGTGACTTTACCGAAAGAACCAAAGAAGATGAATCATGTAGCTATTTATAGCAGCAAAATACTCGAAGCACACGGAGGACCCAGAGAAAAATCCCTGCGACCACGCGGAGAACGTGAACACTCCAAATATACAGCAGGCGTCAGGGTCAGCATCGATTACACATTGCCATGACAGGAACGTCGCACAAAGTGGTCCCTATTTTACGACCATGTAGAGATCAACAATTATGGCTTGCCTATGTCAACACTTGAACCTACTATAAATAAAACCATGTGCATTGCTATACAACTGTCTACGAAATGAAAGGTTTTGATAGCACGCAGCACAAAGCACGGCTATTACAATTTGAAGAATGATCACCCCGATTTCAAGTAGCGAAATTACAATTAGAACAACACGATACTTATAACGCGTTTAATTATCGTATTTGCGTTCATTACGTACTATACTGTATCAAAGACGGTAAGACGCATCTACTATAAAGTAAGACTGCAAAGGTGTAGCAATGCGCGCATATGCACAATGGTGCATATCGCGACACTGTTTAAAGTGCATAGATGTAGCCCTTTAATTGAAACAATCAACAATCAATATGAGAACATTTAGGCAATTAAAATAGGGATAGCATTACGGCAATCAATTGTAAATCATGAACACCGTTCACCTGCTCGGCGCGTCAGAATGGGCGTGACAAAGCAAACGAAAAACACTATTTATTATGATTATAACTACGTCATTATTTTAACAACAGTAGTGATTATCATTATTATTGCCATTGTTGGTAGCGCGCTGAGAGGCAGCCATCAGCGGCCACTTGGGGGCCATGCCGAGCGCTGAGACAAGCGCCTCTCATTGGTCATAGGCTCCCCAACAGCCGCTGTGATTGGACAACAAGTTCCCGCGCATTTCTGGGCGCAACCATTCGTGATCTGAAATGGGGGGGTGGGTGGCAGAATGTAAAATCATTAATTATTAAAATAAAGTCAAAGCACCAATAGGCCCAGGAATCGGTAGGACCTGGACCGGTTTTTTTAAAATGAAATCTTGCACTTTTTTTTTACTTAAAACTTTCGTGACTGCAGGAATTCATGTTCTTTCGGTGAAGTCACATAGATAGAAAAATAAAAATTACGTGAATAAAAATAATAAAAAAATAAGATAATACTGTAGCCTGGTTCTTAATCGGAGTGAGTGTACAGTCAGTCTATAATGTAGACTGTAGCCTGGTTCTTAATCGGAGTGAGTGTACAGGCAGTCTATAATGTAGACTGTAGCCTGGTTATTAAGCTGAGTGAGTGTACTGGCAATCTATAATGTAGACTGTACCCTGGTTATTAAACTGGGTGAGTGTACTGACAGTCTATAATGTAGACTGTAGCCTGGTTATAAAGCTGTGTGAGTGTACTGACAGTCTATAATGTAGACTGTAGCCTGGTTATTAAGCTGAGTGAGTGTACTGACAGCCTATAATGTAGACTGTAGCCTGGTTATTAAGCTGAGTGAGTGTACAGGCAGTCTATAATGTAGACAACCTTTTCTATCTACTTGACTTTACCGAAATAACCAAAGAATATGAAATATTAAATTGTTACGCGAGATGAGTCTGTAGATCCAAAGATTTGAAAGAATATAAAAAAGACAACAAGGCGAGTTCAATACAGTGGTAAAGATAGCTATACAGCTGAGTGAGCTTTTATACCTGGTAAAATAACATTAAAAGGTTTAGTTTAAATACATTATAATTCTGAGTAAATTCGTCAAGAGTGTCATTAACATTCGTGACGTTATTCGTTCCCTTTAAATCTGACAGCACTGAAGCTCTCTCCGCACTGCGTGGCCTTGCCGATTGTGCCAAAAAGAAATCCCCTTTTCAAACGCTCCTGGAAGACCTTGACCTGTGGAAATATTACCCGCACAAACTCTCGCTCAAGGACGTCTTACAAGTATCCGAAAGGAACACCAAGAAGGAGCAGCCCAACTCCTTGCAAGACGTCGCCATGCACTTCCTTCACGGCATTTTTGCTGCAAATTCAAATTCTCGAACGACAGAGCTCAGCTCCGGGAACGTTATAGCTGAGGTCCAGCCGGAAAAAGCTGAAGACGAGTTCGCGTTTCTAACCGAACGCCACACAGCCACAACCCTTAGGTGTAATTCTATCAGCATATTGGATCTGACAGCGGCGGTCTTCCTGTGTGCCGACCGGTGCTTGCAACAGGCAATTATGGTCAAGATGTCTCTGTGCCAATTTGCATTGCCTCTGTTACTGCCCGACTCCAACAAAGGCACGCTCACCTTCTTGCTGTGGGCCATGCGTTCCGTGACTCACATTTGGAGACCTCACGAAAAAATGAGCAGCCGAGGCCACGTCGAAGATTCCGTGGCCAGAGCGAAGATGCCCATGATGTCCTTTGTGCGGATCGGGAACTGCAAAGTGTCCAAATCGGAGGTCATCAACATGTTCCTGAGCAATGGCCAGCACGATTTATTCGTTCACCGAAACATGATATGCAGGGATTCCGACAGAAAAATTGCCAACGGTGTGGTGGAGGTTTGCTTTAGCCTGCCACGTGGCAATGAAAACTCTGACCTCTTCCGGGATATAGTTGCCGTTTTTAATCTTCGTGGTGATGCTAAAGATAGCCCGATCCAATTAGAATTCTTGAAAAGGACATCGGGGGTGCTCTTCGTATTCGTGGAGAAAGTTGGAGAAAGCGAAAGCACCTTTTTGACCTCAAATTTCGATCCGAATTCAAAGCCATTTCTTGTACTAGACTCGGAAAGAGCTGCAGAGGAGGAAACACGCAGAAAACTATTGTGCGTCTGCAAACATCTGAAATTGGAAAAAAAGAACGTTTTTTTGGGGGAAGATTTCACGAGAATTACGTTCAAGGAAACGTTTAAAAAATTCGTTGTCGACGCCGTGAGGACCATCGAGTCCAAGAAAGAGAGTTTGCAAGAAGCCATTGGGACTGCTTCAGCGCTTAAGATCGTCATCGACGAAGGGGAAAATGATCTACGCATCATCAGAGAGTCGTTGAAAAACGTCACAGATTACATCATGAAACCCGGCACGTGCTCCATCAAAGAGCTGATGCTTCCGCGTCAGGGCAAGCTGTGGCATGACTGGGCTAAGCTAGACAAAGAGCAGTGGCGCCTGAACAAGATCAGCAAGAGGAAATGTAAAGAATACCGCGCGAATATCGAGACAGTGAAACACAAACTTCGGGAGCAGCAGTCCAAGCTGGAGCTCTCCCCGCCAATGCAGATATTCGTCCGCGAACTAACAAAGTCTTCCAAAACGAACTTGCTCTTTCTTCAGTCCTTGAAAGTAGAACTCGATTCGTTATCAAGAACCCCAGGACTGTTGCTTTCGCTGAGTGTGGAGCATTTCATGCGAGAATTGGCACAGATCTACGAGGCGTCCAAAGCTTGCGACGCAGCTCCCCCCGGATCCCAGGCGCTGCCGTCGGTCATGGCGCAGCTCCTCCTCGACGGCTTTCCCCTGGAGCTCATGGACGGCGAGGCCGGCTGCATCCCAATGGATTGGGTGACGGACGTCCTGCACGAAGTCTGCCGCATGCTCGGCGAAGAGGTGCGCATGCCCGTGCTGTCCGTGCTCGGCATGCAGAGCACGGGGAAGTCCACCCTCCTCAACATCATGTTCGGCCTGCAGTTCGACGTGAGCAGCGGCCGCTGCACGCGGGGAATGTTCGCTTATCTTGTGCCCGTCGACGCCCTCCTGAGGGAGAAACTGCAATGCGACTTCTTCCTGGTGATCGACTCGGAGGGGCTAAATTCCACAGAGGACTCACCACACCGTCCAACGGGCGAGAGAGACGCCGAGCTAGCCACACTGCTCATCGGCCTGAGCGACATAGTGCTGTTCAACCTCAGGATGGAGAACGCAGAGGAGCTGAAGGACATCCTCGGAACCGCCCTCCGCGCCATTGTACAGATGATTGATGCCGGGAAGAAGCCCTCCTGCATGTTTATCCACCAGTGCTCAGGGGATCTGTCTGCGCACGACAAGAATGCAGAGGGCCGGGAAAGCATCCTCAGGCTGCTGGAAGAGAGCGCGGTTGAGGCGATGAAGCTCAAGGGCAGGGACACGGTCGTCAAGCATTTCTCTGAATTCATGGAGTACGACATGGTCAACGACAACTGCTACTTGCCGGAGCTCTGGACCAGTGGCTTGCTGGTGAAGCCCATCAATGCCGAGTACAGTGACAAAGTGCTTGATCTACAAAAGAACATCTTGGAAAAATTTAAATCGAAGAAATACACTCACACTCTGTCAGAGTTCAGTGATTGGTTGAACATCATATGGACCGCCATGAAGAAAGAAATCCTTATTTTCAGTTTCAAGAACTTCGATGTCATCAACCCCTACAACCAACTGTGCAGTAAGTACTCTGACTGGGAGACGAAGCTCAGCACCAAGGTAGATACCTGGCTGAACGTCGCAGAAAACAAAATCTCGAACTCAAAACATACGGAGCTTGACGAGTTGTGTGCTGAACTAGAAGGCCAATTGAAGAAAGAATTTTCAGAAAACGAAGGGCAATTTATGGAGCTGTTACAGGATATATTTGACAAATCTACAGATGCACACTTGCTTCTGAAATACAAAGACGACTTTTTGGACAGTTACGTAATGTTTACAGAAAATGTTCGTTTGGAAGCTCTTAAAAAGTATGAAAATAAACGGTTTGAAGCTCTTGGAAAATATGATAGGCGTGAAAATAGCCAAAAGTCTCATGCATTCGTGGTAAGCCACTTCACACAACGGATCGTTGAGTGCATTCAACAACTCCTGCAGAACTACAAAAACAATTGCGCTGAACTTTTCGAAAACTCTTTTCAAGGTGATTTCAGTCGGATTTGGTCAGAGTCAGTGTCTTTGCTTGAAAATAAGGAAATACAGGCTGATATTGAAAAAATATTGTCCAAAGATGACAATTGTCGAAAACGCTTAAGTGCTGAACCATTGTGCGACTTGGGGAAAACAACATTCAACATCAGGGATGCGGAACACAAACTTTCAACAAGTGAAATGCACCGTTCATGGACGAGCATCTCCACCTTCGTGAGTGATGTCGTGAGAGATTGCACCGCCTTTATAGAAGGCTACGCCAACACGAAGATCAGTTACAGTTCCAAGCAGTGGGACGAGCTACTGGCGCACATTGATTCGCTGTTGAACGCAGAGTACAAAGGATGCAATTCTCAACTGAAAGTTGACATCAAGCTGTACGTTTGCTCTATCGCTGTAGAAGCATTCACGCGACTGGACAAGGCGCTACTGGAGCACAGACTATCGGACATAAAGAACACTGCCCGGGACCTTTTGGGACAAATGTGCCAAAGTGGGGATGAAAGACAGAACATCGCTGCCGCCATTTGTCAATGTTTCATCAAGCCGGCCCTTGTGAGAAGTATCCATCAGCAGTTGGGGACAAGGCTCGTGAAAATTATCAGAGGAAAAAGCAACGCATTTTCGAGCCGTAAACACCTACATATGAACGTCCTCTTATACGTGCTCATGGAGGAAGACTTTACTCTTTTTTTAAATTTCATACGTTCTCATCAAGATGTCACACACGACTGGGTGAAGAACTATGTCATCCACTTTTGCAAGGAATGTGAATTCTTAAACTGGCATAACATCTGCCTGGAGAAAAAACACATTGTAGAACAATTCAAATCAAAAATTGCAAACTCAATGACGGCAGTGAAGGCAGCACAATCTATCCCAGCGACGGTGGCTGATCTCTTCCGCAGCCTAAAAGAATTCCTTGCCGAAGATATCGTGTTCCAGCACTTGGAGCTGCTGAAAATTTTCGATCTGTACCCCCTCGTCGACGCCCAAAGTCTCGATAAACTTTTGGCCATGGTCGTCGCCCAACTGGGGGTGGTCATTTGCAAAGTTCAGCCAAATTGCGGTGACACCTGCGACATTGAGAATACATTGCAAGACCTACGCGTGAGACCACACCGGCAGTTGCTGTGGATGCTGCGAGGCTGTGGTCAGCAGTGCCCGCTGTGTGGAGCTCCCTGTGATCGCGGAGGGGGTAACCACAGGGAGCACGCGGCCACCATTCACTATCCCCAGGGGCTCATGGGCAGGAGGCATCATGACGGGACGTTCATGTGCGATGTGTGCACCACCTCCATGGCGCGGAAAAAGAATGGAAGGATGGGTGAGCATACTTTTTGCAACGCAGACACGGGAAAGATGCCCGTAAAATTCAACAACCTTCGCGATTTGTACAAAGACTGGAACATCCCGCCAGATCCAGACTTGGAAAACCCCCTCTTCTGGAAGTTAGTCTTGCACCATTTCAACGACAAGTTGGCGCAGCATTATGGGGTTGGTAAGGCGGAGATACCTCCAGAATGGGGATGCATTACAACGCAATGTGTGAAGGATGATTTGTGTGAAAGATATTTTGGTCGGCCTGGTGTGGTGGACAACGTCGTCAAAGGAGTAAAACAAAACAGCCCCAATTACCATCACAACAAAATCACCCTAAAAAAATACAAAAACCTCTAACTGCTGAAATAGTGGCTAGCCCAAGACCCTTGATTGCCTTAAATCGAGGGTCCACAGAGTCTTTTCTTATCGAATGCATTTCAGTGGGGTCAAAAGGTATATAAAATAAATCTACACATGGAATCATAAGAATGTGTTGACAGTCTTCCCTCGTTATTTGCGATGAAGGATGAATTACGCAGATGCCCGTGCATAGCAAACTTGGTGGATAATGATATTGGCCTGCAATTTTGTATTAATTCTATTAACAAAAACACTTAAATAAGCTATTAAACATATGAAAATCATCTTATTTTATTTCATCACTTTATCTCTAATCTGCCACAACACTGCAGAAGTGTTATGGGATAACGAATTGAGATGACTAGAATCCAGTTCCTCTACCAAGGGTTCAGTTCCTCTACCAAGAGTCCAGTTCCTCCAACAAGAGTCCAGTTCCTCTACCAAGAGTCCAGTTCCTCTACCAAGAGTCCAGTTCCTCTACCAAGAGACCAGTTACTCCACCAAGAGTCCAGTTCCTCCACCAAGAGTCCAGTTCCTCTACCAAGAGTCCAGTTCCTCCACCAAGAGTCCAGTTCCTCCACCAAGAGACCAGTTCCTCTACCAAGAGTCCAGTTCCTCCACCAAGAGTCCTGTTCCTCTACCAAGAGTCCAGTTCCTCTACCAAGAGACCAGTTCCTCTACCAAGAGACCAGTTCCTCTACCAAGAGACCAGTTCCTCTACCAAGAGACCAGTTCCTCTACCAAGAGTCCAGCTCCTCTACCAAGAGTCCAGTTCCTCCACCAAGAGTCCAGTTCCTCTACCAAGAGTCCAGTTCCTCTACCAAGAGACCAGTTCCTCCACCAAGAGTCCAGTTCCTCCACCAAGAGACCAGTTCCTAAACCAGAGTCCAGTTCCTCCACAAAGAGTCCAGTTCCTCTACCAAGAGTCCAGTTCCTCTACCAAGAGACCAGTTCCTCCACCAAGAGTCCAGTTCCTCTACCAAGAGTCCAGTTCCTCCACCAAGAGTCCAGTTCCTCTACCAACAGTCCAGTTCCTCTACCAAGAGTCCAGTTCCTCCACCAAGAGTCCAGTTCCTCCACCAAGAGACCAGTTCCTAAACCAGAGTCCAGTTCCTCCACAAAGAGTCCAGTTCCTCTACCAAGAGTCCAGTTCCTCTACCAAGAGTCCAGTTCCTCCACCAAGAGTCCAGTTCCTCTACCAAGAGTCCAGTTCCTCCACCAAGAGTCCAGTTCCTCTACCAACAGTCCAGTTCCTCTACCAAGAGTCCAGTTCCTCCACCAAGAGTCCAGTTCCTCCACCAAGAGACCAGTTCCTAAACCAGAGTCCAGTTCCTCCACAAAGAGTCCAGTTCCTCTACCAAGAGTCTAGTTCCTCCACCAAGAGTCCAGTTCCTAAACCAAGAGTCCAGTTCCTCCAGCAAGAGTCCAGTTCCTCTACCAAGAGTCCAGTTCCTCTACCAAGAGTCCAGTTCCTCCACCAACAGTCCAGTTCCTCCACCAAGAGTCCAGTTCCTCTACCATAGTCCAGTTCCTCTACCAAGAGTCCAGTTCCTCCACCAAGAGTCCAGTTCCTCCACCAAGAGTCCAGTTCCACCACCAAGAGTTCAGTTCCTCTACCAAGAGACCAGTTCCTCTACCAAGAGTCCAGTTCCTCTACCAAGAGTCCAGTCCCACCACCAAGAGTCCAGTTCCTCCACCAAGAGTCCAGTTCCTCTAACAAGAGTCCAGTTCCTCCACCAAGAGTCCAGTTCCTCCACCAAGAGTCCAGTTCCTCCACCAAGAGTCCAGTTCCTCCACCAAGAGTCCAGTTCCTCTAACCAGAGTCCAGTTCCTCCACCAAGAGTCCAGTTCCTCCACCAAGAGTCCAGTTCCTCTACCAAGAGTCCAGTTCCTCCACCAAGAGTCCAGTTCCTCTACCAAGAGTCCAGTTCCTCTACCAAGAGTCCAGTTCCTCCACCAAGAGTCCAGTTCCTCCACCAAGAGTCCAGTTCCTCCACCAAGAGTCCAGTTCCTCTAACCAGAGTCCAGTTCCTCCACCAAGAGTCCAGTTCCTCCACCAAGAGTCCAGTTCCTCCACCAAGAGTCCAGTTCCTCTACCAAGAGTCCAGTTCCTCTACCAAGAGTCCAGTTCCTCCACCAAGAGTCCAGTTCCTCTACCAAGAGTCCAGTTCCTCTACCAAGAGTCCAGTTCCTCCACCAAGAGTCCAGTTCCTCCACCAAGAGTCCAGTTCCTCTACCAAGAGTCCAGTTCCTCCACAAAGAGTCCAGTTCCTCCACCAACCGTCCAGTTCCTCCACCAAGAGTCCAGTTCCTCTACCAAGAGTCCAGTTCCTCCACCAAGAGTCCAGTTCCACCACCAAGAGTCCAGTTCCTCTACCAAGAGACCAGTTCCTCTACCAAGAGACCAGTTCCTCTACCAAGAGTCCAGTTCCTCTACCAAGAGTCCAGTTCCTCTACCAAGAGTCCAGTTCTTCCACCAAGAGTCCAGTTCCTCCACCAAGAGTCCAGTTCCTCTACCAAGAGACCAGTTCCTCCACCAAGAGTCCAGTTCCTCCACCAAGAATCCAGTTCCTCCACCAACAGTCCAGTTCCTCCACCAAGAGTCCAGTTCCTCCACCAAGAGTCCAGTTCCTCCACCAAGTGTCCAGTTCCTCTACCAAGAGTCCAGTTCCTCCACCAAGAGTCCAGTTCCTCCACCAAGAGTCCAGTTCCTCTACCAAGAGTCCAGTTCCTCTCCCATAGTCCAGTTCCTCTACCAAGAGTCCAGTTCCTCCACCAAGAGTCCAGTTCCTCTACCAAGAGTCCAGTTCCTCCACCAAGAGTCCAGTTCCTCTACCAAGAGTCCAGTTCCTCCACCAAGAGTCCAGTTCCTCTACCAAGAGTCCAGTTCCTCCACCAAGAGTCCAGTTCCTCCACCAAGAGTCCAGTTCCTCTACCAAGAGTCCAGTTCCTCTCCCATAGTCCAGTTCCTCTAACCAGAGTCCAGTTCCTCTACCAAGAGTCCAGTTCCTCTACCAAGAGTCCAGTTCCTCCACCAAGAGTCCAGTTCCTCTACCAAGAGACCAGTTCCTCCATTCCCTAAATAACTAATTTAGTGAGTGTCCATGTTCGTTAAGTTATTTAGTGGGCATTCATGTTAGTTAAGTCATTAACACGAAGTTGCGCTCCAATCAACCTGAGCACAGCGACAAAATTATGAAGCCACTGGAGCTATGCACTTTTAAATCTCATTGAAAACTAATTTCTTTAGAACTGCATTTAGCTTGTTGTCCTTCCTCCACACCTCCTATTAGCATGGTTAACTATGTACAGTGCTAAATAAGTTCAACGTACAGGACAGCAATACCTCGCCAACTACAATTTTGCCAACCACGGTTTCAAGTATCCACGCACAATATTACGTATGCCATTTTTTCTAACCATGGTTGACTGATTCGCGTAACCACGGTTTGGTTTTCCCAGCTACCCTGGATTAAAGATGTGATTTTACATATTTCAGATTTGTTATCCACTTAATTCTCTTTTCAGAAGTAGAGTGGATCTCGTCCATTCCTCCTTCAAAGGAGTGAAGACAGCAGCAGCTGCAGAGTGTTTACAATGTAGTCAATAGTTTGGGATTCGTGACCACACACTCGCAGGACACCGAATCTTTGATGCACCATTTGTGCATCAGGTGGCCGCATCGGCTACGTGTCCCGGTCCTGATTCGGTTAATGGTCGACCATTGGCGGTACAGAAAGTTGAAACCGGGCGGTTTGACGATAAGATCACTGTGCGAGAGATGTTTATTTTTTATGCCGGACGCAGTCCAGACTTGCTTCCGTCTCTCGCCTTCATATGTATTTGTGGCATGGAGTGAGGCTTCTGATGTGATCCAGAAGGGGTGGCGTGATTTTAGGCCAACAGGCGGCGCTGGGTTTATGTCTCGATGTATCTTTCAAATATCCAGTTTTGTTCACGCATCTACCACACCAGGGGTGCATCAAGCGCGTGTTACCCATCACGCTTGCCCTGAATGCCACAGTACTTGTCCACGTCATTCAGTTAGAGCGTAGTAGTGATGTATTTTCTACCTCGTGAAAGTTGTACCGTAACTACTGTGCAATGCCACTATTGTTTTGTCCCCATGATCATTCCCTCTCCCCCATAAGCTTCAAGCTGGTGGTGGTAATGGTGGTGAAGGTGACGCGTAATGTGAAGAGGGCAATGAGAGGGTTGTGGTTGAGTTTGTTCGATCGTCTCACGCGTGGAGAGACTGTGGCGTCGGTAGGGCGGCATCTGGGCTGTGTGAGCGGAGTGCCCCCCCCCCCATCACCTAACGTCATCGTCATCATCATCATCGGCAGCGTCACTCTTAACGTTATCTGGACTTCACTATTGATATTAATGGTTATTAAATTATTTTTTGTTCACGATGAATATTAAAATTGCATTTTGTTCATAGAGTCACTGTGTGTTCTACAGTACTGGACATATTTCTCAAGTTTACTGAATGCGTAGGATGCGGTAGTTAGGCTTCGATAAGAGAGTTAATAGTGGCTGTGGAACCTAACCCCCTTTTTTCCATCAGCCTTCAGTCTTGCCAACCACGGTTTTGCCAACCGCAGGGGGGCGGGGCCAGGGGTTTCAGGGCCCTAACCCCCACGGTTGGCGAGGGATTGCTGCTAGCCAACCTGACCACGTAAGTCACGGGTGGTGAACCTTTTTTCTGCCAAGGGCCATTTGGATATTTATATAACATCATTCGCGGGCCATACAAAATTATCAACTTAAAAAAAGCCCGTTATATTTGGTCAAACATTTAATTAACTCGCCCCTAATGCGATGGGCTGGACTGCTTCTCTTTGGCGAGGCGTGTGGCGATGTTAGCCGGTATTGACGATGTTGCAGCTACTTGCAACTGCTTTTCCAGGTTTGCTCTACCTAGATTTATTGAATTTCGAGTCCCGCCTGCGGTTGCCTTGGCAGGGCCACACCAAATGATTTCGCGGGGCTTACACGGCCCGCGGGCCGGACGTTCCCCACCCCTGACGTAAGTGAATCACTGTGGTCTGCTGTTCCTTCAATGGAAGAGGAACATGAGAACGACACGGAACTCCCTCGCGGAAGCCCTCTCGTCATGGCCAGCAGACGTTGGCGTTTAGCTCCTGAACATATTGCGGCCATCGTGTGCAAGAACACTGTAGAATAGAATCCTGTTGACTTAATCTCAAGGAAAGTTGCTCTTAGGAGTTATTCGCCCTCAAGGGCCCTTAGCTGATGCACCTCGATGTGGCTTTGTGTAATTTATTTTGGTCAGAAGGAAATAAAACAGAACTCTTGCCCCGTGTAAATGTTGTTCATTATCAACGACAGTGAATGACAGTCCATATCAAGTTCCATTTTCAAGTTTATTTAGTTAAATCAGTTGACCACTTTTGTACATGTGGGTGTGTGTGGGTTGGGAGGACTGTGGGTTTACTTGTATTGTGTAGTGTTCGTGGCTGGGCGTGCAGTTGGTCACCCACCCCCTCGTGTGCCATTCCAGCCTTCATGAAGTGTTCGCGAACTGCACTCGTCCCAACAGTCCGTTAAAGGCTATACGGGGTATCTTTGTATTTATCATCAACAGGTCTGGGAAATTGTGTTCGTATTCTTTCTTTCGACAGGCTCTGAATGAAACACAGGGCAGTAACAATCAGTACTACAAAAACAATCAACTCCACACAACCACTACAACTACAATCGTATACATAAATGACTGAACACATCGTCCGTTTTCGTCGCTAATATTAAGATTCATGATTTTGTTTTTAGTCTTGGCCACGTAGGAGTGATCTGGCCAATTTGTAGCATGAAACCCTCCACCACCCGACAGCCAAACAAAATAAGTTGTCACTCATTGCTGGAGAAGCAATGCTCGTGCTAAAATACCTACGTTTGCTAAGTTTGGTGTTGAGGATTGTTCACAAACTCACTCGCCGGTGAGTTGAGCTGAAATGATAGCAATTGGCGCGTCATTCAACGCTTGTGTACCGAGCGACAATGTAATATTTTAACTGTCGGGTGGTGGAGGCTTTCACCTCGCATATTTTTGGTCCAATCATTACCACGCGGACTAAACCAAACATAAATGATGAAGCTAATTGGACAAAACACTCCAGTGGTGTTACCATGGATGCTGCACTTATGCTCGCCCCATCTGCTGCCGCTGCCGTAGCTGATGCTGGAAACGACGCAGGTTGCGCCGCAGCGCCATCGTAGCGACCCGCATGCTTCTGCGCAGCGCGACGCCAAATTCAGGGCGACAGCGACGTCTGCGCCATGAGTCACCAGCGCCAGCACCGACAACAGCGCCAGCCCTGGCGCCAGCCCCGGCCCCAGCACCGCCCCAGGCGCCAGCGCCGGCATCAACCCAGGCGCCAGCGCCGGCCACAGCCCCAATGTCCACACCGCCGTCTCCGGCCGCGTGGTTCACAAATCGCTGCTGCAGCTGAGGGCCTGCTCTGCGGAAATCACCGCCGGCGAAAACGTCCATGGAGGCGTCCATGTGGAAGGATCTCGGACTGTGCACACGTGCTCCGCTCTGTAAGCAAAGTGAGCAAGAGCACACAGCGCCACTGTGACCTCACGCGAGCCTTGTGATGTCACGTGGGCCTGAGATGTCACGTGGAATTGAGATGCCACGTGGGCCTGAGATGTCACGTGGGCTTGAGATGTCACGTGGGCCTGAGACGTCACATGGGCTTGAGTAGTCACATGGCCTTGTGATTTCACATGGACCTGAGTTGTCACATGGGCCTTAGTTGCCTAATATGTGACATGGGCCTGAGATGTCATATGGGCCTGAGATGTCACGTGGGCCTGAATTGGCACGTGGGCCTTGTGATGTCACATGGGCCTGAATTGTCACCTGGGCCTTGTGATTTCACGTGGGCCTTGTGATTTCACCTGGGCCTTGTGGTTTCACGTGGGCCTGGTGGTTTCACGTGGGCCTTGTGATTTCACGTGGGCCTTGTGGTTTCACGTGGGCCTTGTGATTTCACGTGGGCCTGAATTGTCACCTGGGCCTTGTGGTTTCACGTGGGCCTTGTGGTTTCACGTGGGCCTTGTGGTTTCACCTGGGCCTTGTGATTTCACGTGGGCCTTGTGGTTTCACGTGGGCCTTGGGATTTCACATGGGCCTGAATTGTCACGTGGGCCTTAGTTGCCATATGTGCCTGAGTTGCCACGCGGGGGTAGATCAACTGAGTGAGCTCTGTATTGCAAGTCCAGTGTACAAACCATTACACCGAAGTGGCAGCAACACCATTCACTTGAATAAATCTCGACCAAAGTTGCTGCTGGGAATTGTTGTCCCAGGAGGTCAATTGGTTGATTGGCCTGAATCTTGTTTTACTTAATTTGTTTGGCGTGTGAAATAAGCTACAATGTGTTCGTTAGCAACCACAACGATGAATGTCAGTCCACATCAAGCTGAGGTCGCATGTCTGTCTTATTAAACCGGGTGTGAACTGAAGAGACCGGGACGAGTCCCAATTGGGTCACCAGAATAATGAAAAAAAAAAACAATGACTTCATTACAAAGTACAGATCAAGACAAGCGAAAGGAAATCAGCACGAAAACAAATGCACAACAAAACAGATCGTAAATACTGCGCACGCACGAATAAGCATTGCATTAAATACATTTCTTGCAACGAATATTGGGTCGGACAAATCGCTTGAAAAACATTCACAGTAAAGTTAAGTCACGGAGCCGTTGAGAATGGAGACGAGAGTGATTATTGCGCCGTGCAAACAGACGGGGATATATGGCAAATAAAGATATATATTCTTATAATTGTTTTTTTTTACCCTTTCATCTGGCAACAAAACTGACACCTTTTTTACAAGGAGTCATGCTTACATTGACCACAATACCTGCGGTCGGAACCCAAAAAAAACAATTATCATATTTTGTTACTGGCAAATGAGGTTTCCAATGATATATATTCTTGGTTCTTTCGGTAAAGTCACGTAGAAGGGAAACAATAAAATAATAATTAAAAAATATATAAATATAAAACAATAAAATTCTCACGACGTTTCGACTGCAACACAAGCAGTCATCATCAGATGTGAAAACCACAACAAGAAAATTTTGAAAAAAGTGGCGGTTATTTTTAACGTTAGCACCACGGATAGCGATTTGACAGTTTGTTCAGATGGACGAGTCCATCTATGCTCGGAAAAGAGGAGGGAGACGAAAAATAATGGATGCGGTCTGAAGCCACCTTAAGCATGATCAATCAATTAAGACCCGAACAAATCAGGGGTCGGGAACCTATGGCTCGCGAGCCAGATGTGGCTCTTTTGATGATTGCATATGGCTCGCAGATAAAACAAAATATTCTCACTTGTTTAATCCATCCATCGATTTTTCACTGCGCATGTCCTGTTCAGGGCTGCAGGAGCAATTGTCCATTATTTTAATTGGATGATACTGGCCTACGTTTGCCGTTGCTGGGTAAAACAGGTAAACGCCCCCTTTTGAATCAGTCTGAGACTGCGTCTGCTCGGTCATTAGCTCAAAGCTAACCCTTCGACGAAGAAGATGGCGAAAAGAAAAAAAGACGACGAGTATCGTACATTTCAGGACGAATGGACCGAAGAATTCGCCTTTGTGGAGAGAGCGGGTTCTGCGGTGTGTCTAATTTGCAATGACAAAATTACATCGTTGAAACGGTCGAATGTAAAGCGGCACTTCGACACGCGCCACGCTACCTTTGCATCAAAATACCCTGCGGGAGACAGCAGAAAGAAAGCGTGCCAAGAGCTTCTGAGCAGGGTGCAAGCTAGCCAGCAGCAACTCCGCGTATGGACCCGGCAAGGTGACTATAATTCGGCTAGCTTTGCTGGTTCTTTAGCAATAGTGAGGAACGGAAAACCATTCACAGATGGCGAGTATGCTAAAACGTTCATGCTGGATGTAGCCAATGAACTTTTTGATGATCTTCCGAACAAAGACAAGATAATCAAACGGATACAAGACATGCCTCTGTCGGCAAGAACTGTTCATGATCGTACCATCGTGATGGCAAACAAAGTGGAGGAAACGCAAGTGAAGGACATAAATGCAGCGCCGTTCTTTTCTCTGGCTTTGGATGAGTCAACAGATGTGAGCCATTTGTCGCAGTTCAGCGTGATTGCAAGATATGCTGTTGGTGACACACTGCGCGAAGAAAGTCTTGCTGTTCAGCCATTAAAAGGGTCCACAAGAGGTGAGGATTTATTCAAGTCTTTCATGGAGTTTGCTCAAGAAAAAAGTCTACCTATGTATAAACTTCTCTCAGTGTGTACTGATGGTGCTCCGTGTATGGTGGGGAAAAACAAAGCATTTGTGGCGCTTCTCCGTGAACATGAAAATAGACCCATCCTAAGTTTCCATTGCATTATACACCAGGAGGCACTTTGTGCTCAGATGTGTGACAGGCAGTTTGGCGAAGTGATGTCGCTGGTCATTCGTGTGATCAACTTTATTGTTGCCCGAGCCTTAAATGATCGCCAGTTTAAAACACTGCTGGATGAAGTTGTAAATAACTATCCTGGTCTGCTTTTGCACAGCAATGTGCGTTGGTTGTCAAGAGGGAAGGTGCTTAGCCGTTTTGCGGCTTGCCTGAACGAAATCCGGACTTTCCTTGAAATGAAAGGCGTCGGGCATCCTGAGCTAACCGACACCGAGTGGCTCCTCAAGTTTTACTATCTCGTAGATCTGACTGAACATCTGAACCAGCTCAACGTGAAAATGCAAGGCATTGGAAATACAGTGTTATCCCTTCAACAAGCTGTATTTGCTTTTGAAAACAAGCTGGAGCTTTTCATCACGGATCTTGAAACAGGTCGTTTACTACATTTTGAAAAACTGAGCCAATTTAAAGATGCATGCACAGCAAGTGAGCCCATTCAAAACCTTGATCTCCACCAGCTAGCTGGCTGCACATCCAGTCTCCTACAGTCCTTCAAAGCACGCTTTGGAGAATTTCGTGAGCACACTCGTCTTTTTAAGTTCATCACCCATCCAAACGAGTGTTCACTGAACACAGCCGACCTGAATTACATCCCTGGTGTCTCCGTCAGAGATTTTGAAGCAGAAGTGGCTGACCTGAAGGCCTCAGACATGTGGGTGAATAAGTTCAAGTCACTGAATGAAGATTTGGAAAGAATCACACGACAGAAAGCGGAGTTGGCGAGCAAGCACATGTGGACAGAAATGAAAAAACTCCAACCCGAAGACCAGCTGATTCTCAAAACTTGGAACGCGCTTCCTGTCACATACCACACACTGCAGCGTGTGAGTATTGCTGTATTGACCATGTTTGGATCTACGTATGCATGTGAGCAGTCATTCTCACATCTTAAAAACATCAAGTCCAACCTACGATCACGTTTAACGATGAAAGCCTCAACGCTTGCATGAAGCTTAACCTCACCAAGTACCAACCCGACTACAAAGACATCAGCAAATCCATGCAGCACCAGAAGTCGCATTAATGGTGAGTGTTATAACAACATTATTTAAAAGAATAAATTCAGAGGCTTATTATACTGACATTTAGTTGAATTCACTTTTAAAATATATTATATGGCTCTCACTGAAATAAATTTCCAAATTTTTTGCTTTCATGGCTCTCTTAGTCAAAAAGGTTCCCGACCCCTGATCAAATCCTTCCAATGATTGCTAAGCCAGAATCCATCTTCTCGGTGGAAATTGTCTCTGTGTTTGTATATTTCAGTCGAAACGTCGTGATAATTTTTTTGTTTAATATTTTTATTTTTTTAATTATTTTATTGTTTCCCTTGTACGTGACTTTAATGAAAGAACCAAGAATATGAATCCCTGCAGTCACGAAAGCTTTAAAGCAAATAAAGATGTCGCAAAAAATCCACAGCTCGGCATCACCTTGTGATTTAGACAACCACTGGATTACCCGGGACAGCCACACTGAATCCGTAGACTCTTTTTTCAGGAGGGTCCTGCTAATGACATTGTGTCCACGTGTTTAGCTGTGGGAGGAAGCCAGAAAACCCGGGGGGACTCCCATGCAAATCGTGGAGACAACACACAAACGCCACCCGCTCAACTCACTTGACTCAAAATATCAGATCCCTTGTATAGCCTTCACAAAGTTGTATCAATGACGTTGGCCGTGAGCGGGAATCGAAATCAGGTCGCCGGCTTCGTACGGCAGTGCACGAAGCATGCCACCACTGCTCCCCACGCACTCAGAGGAACAGGAGGAGAGGACGTACAAATGCCACGCAGAATGGGCGTTCGAGTCGGGACTCAAACCCAGGGGCCTCTTGCTGCGAGGCACGATCGTCGCCACTGCACCCCCACCAGCCTGCCACCCAGATGGAAGAATATTTTTGAAGCGATAGAATACCAGGTGACTGGGGCATTAGCCGTTACATGCTAATTTCTCACATTAACATGCTAATTTCTCACATTAACATCACTAGCCCCGGCCACTTCTCTATGACCCTTGAGCTACACCCATTTCAAACCTTTTAACACATTCCTGCGGAGGGAGCTGGTAGGAACGT